TGGCTAAACAGTAGAATGAAAGAGTCATTAATTTGCAAAAAGGCAAAAGGAATAGTTAGTCAAACAGTTAAAGACTTGAGATACAAGAAAATAACAATGAACTAGATCACATATATAAACAATACAGTGATAATTCCAAAACTAGGCTATCTTTTACAACTGACAAGGATGTCAGAAAAGACAATTGATAAAATACATCAGCCACTAATATGCCTAGCAAAACACAAGTGCAATATGATGAAAACAGCGAACAATTGCATAATGGAGCAAAAGATCTAGGCAACTGCAAGCCACTAAGTCAAGAAATAACAACAAAGCAAATAAGCAACCTTTTTTTACAACTTAATAAAAAAGATAGATTAGGTGAGCTTACTAGACTTAGAATAATACAAGAATGCCAAATCGCAGGGTTAACAGATGATATTTGGAATTACAAAGAGAAATTAGAAGAAAAGAAATATTGGAAAAACAATTTAGCCTGTCATACAATAGCTAAAGCCAAAGGGATAGGCATAACTATCAAAACAGAAGACACTTTATGAAAAGTGTACGGATATGGGAGACAAATAAGAGACATAATACAAACTAAAACATGGGCAACAAGTAATAGTATGATGAACAAATAGGGACTGTTATATTTAAACCAACTTATAGATCTAAAAGATAAAAGTCTAATCACATGAAGACAACTCAAGTGCCACTTAGGTTTGTCATGTAAAGGAAAAAAGGCCAAATGGTTTGGTGAAATAGAAAGGAAATTGCTAGTAACACAAACAAGCAGAGAAATATATAACAACTATAAAACAAACAGTTACAACACTCAAGCATTAAAGATTAAATAGACAAAGTTGTCAAAAGATCGAAGGAAAAGAGAATGGATTATACATAGGTCAAAACATAATCAATGACTTAGCAAAGTAATCAAAAAGAAAGGGGAAAAAATACTAGCAGAGCATTGAGTAATGAAGAAAGAAGAGAGGAAAACAACCATAGAAATAAGTAAATGCAAAGGTTGTAGAAACAAACCAGAGGAGATATCAGACAACTGCGAGAAATGGATAAAACACAATTACAATATGAAAGTAATTCCAGAAACAATAATCGAGAAAGGCAATAACAGAATTAATGTAACACTTGAACAGATAACAGACAACAGAACAACAGAAGAAACGAAAGAAACCTAATAGAAATAAAACGAATAGAAGAATTAGAGGTAGAATTAATTAGAAAACAAGGGATAAGCAATAAAATTGCAAATCACTTAATAGAAATGCTAGCAAGAAATAAAAAAAGAAACAAGAACAAGTATACCTTTTATACAGATAGGATACTATATAAAAAGAAGGCAGGAGATAGTGTAGGGAAAATGGATATCGGTTGGGTACAATTGGGAGATGGAAAGGATTGACCATAAGAGAAAGGGGCACTAGGACTCGAAGGATGGCCTTCAGTAACAATAGCAGAATTAGCAGCAATATGGTCTGCAATTCTAATGGTACCAGAAGAGAAAAATATAGAAATATTTACAGATAGCAGTACAGCATTAAGAAATATTAACAAAGCAATACAAAGTATAAGAGACGAAAGAATTCTCAAAAAGAAAAATGCAATGTGAATAATGAACATTACAGACTTAATCAAAAGCAAAAACATTAAAGTAGAAATGGTTAAAGTTAAAAGTCATAGTGAAGACAAGTGGAACAATAGAGCAGATTTACTTGCAAAGAAAGGAGCGAATAGCAAAGAGATAATCTGTGTGGAAAAAATTAAATCTAGCAGAATAAAGTACTTTATAGAATAGGAAAGCAAAAAGATTGACATACCAATAAGGCTTCTTTGCAAGATAATTGTTAACACTAGAATTGAAACTGGCTGGCGAAAAACAAAACCAATTAGATTACTAGAGCCAGAAACCGAACAAGTATTACACAACTGGTCAAGTTTCTGAAAAGAAATGAATAGAACTAGTGAAATACATTATATATCGAGGAGACTTAGTATGAGAAGAGCAACAGCAATCAAGTGTATAATGGACAGTTTACCAACATTAGAAAAACTAAACAGAAAAAGACCAGAAGTATATATAACAGCGAACTGTCAAGTTTGTCAAGAGGGTAAAATAGAAACTCAAGCACATATGGCAAGTTGCAGCAAACAAAGAAGTCTGTGGAAACGAATCCAAAAAGTGTCAGCAACAACAGTATAGAATGGTCTTAAAGAAAGAGAAAAAGACAGAATCCTACCACAAGTGCTATATACAACACTCTTTGGGAAAACAGAGGAAGAAGAAATTGAGAACAGAAAAGCACTAATAAAAGGGCTTACAACACTCAAGCTTAAAAAAGGAATTGAACAATTATTAAACAAAAATGCGACACAGAAATGTATAAATATAACAACTAGAACAGTGTGAAACACCTTTTACGACCAAGTGTGAAGAGTTCAATATGAAAGAGTACAAAAATGAAAAAAGAGCTCTAATAAAACAAATAGAATGAAAAAATATGATAAAGGAAAAAAAAGATCAAAAGAAAAGAAAATAGAAAGTAAAATATCAAAAGAAGATGAAAAAGAAAAGAAAACAGAAAAAGAAAAACAAATGAAGAATGAAGCATTGAAGACAATTGATATGCTTGTCACAGAAGGAAGAAGACCCTTCTGGTATGGCTTTAAGTAGTTAGATGAGCAGTCTATCTCTAACTGAAGTAATGCAGCAGGTTGCACTTAGGTACCATTAGGGTGGCCGAGTGATGCTAAACTTAAGTATTAGGAAATTTTATGTAATTATATATGTATATAGTTTCAAGAATCTTAATAAAGTATTAGTGTAACTGCTTAAGGTTTAAAAAAAAAAAAAAAAAAAATATTAAAAAAAAATGAATTTATTATAAAATATTTAAGTATTTTAACAAATATAGTAAAAATACTTTTTTTTATAGTTTAATATAATTTTTTTAATTTTTTAATTTATTTTTATTTTGTTTAAATGCTAAAAAACAAATTTTTTAGCTGTAATAAATACTTTATTAGTTACTATTTTTTTTAATATTAATTAGAAGCAAACTTCATATAACATTTCTTAAAAAAAAACAAAAATTAAATCAGTCAATATTATGTTTGTTAGAGTAAGTTACAAATAAATTTATATGTAAAATTAGATGTTGAACATTTTTACTTAAAGCATCTATATTAGTTTTTTTAATAAAATTTCAAAATATTAACGATTTTTTGTTTTTCTTTTCTTATATTCGGGTGTGTACCTATGAATACAAATAGAAATTCTCTTTAGATAAATTTTGTTCCTATTATATTCTAATATATACATATTTTAGTTATCTTTATAATTGGAATAATTTAACTAATATGTAATATAACTTATATTTGTCTTTGAACCAAATAAATTATTAAGCCCAAACTTTTCACATGTAATATTAAATTTGTTATGCCATATCTGATTCTAAACGAAAACTTGTACCGTAAAAATTCGAAATAACGATCATGGGCGTTATTTCGAGTTTCGGCCCGAATTAAGCTTAACTTAGGCCGAAATTTGTAATTTCACCCCTGCGTGTTATTTCGAGTCTTTACGGTATGTAATTCTTATTAACATCGATATAGCGTAAATAAATATGTATGTACAACTTGACACTAGTCCCCCCGCTTATCAAACCTACTCCACAATATGCAGATCATTTGATTTACGATAATACGTAGTCTTTCGTATACGTATCGAGTTTTTATATCGCACATGAGTTATATTGTCAATGAAAGGAAATATAAGGTTTGTCAAGTTTTTTTTTTTTATAGTCCAATATTACACAGAATTTTACTTTCTTATTACGTTATAGGCTAAGCTTCTTATTACATACGTATGTAAACTTTAATTATATGTAATGGTCTAGACCGACACGGAATTCAGCCGATCAAGTAATTGTTTAACCTGTCACAGATTTTAGACGTACTCATTATGTAAATATTAATCAATTTTGATTGGCTAAAAGGCATTAGATTATCTAATAAAGTTCATTTAGGGTATTTACATCCCCAGCACATAAATTTCACATAACGAGCTGATTAATCTATCTTTTCAAGCGATTAGGCTCGTTATAATCTAACAACATATGGGGTTTTTGCTTTGAAAATCACCCTATGATATTTCCTATCGGGATTATTCGGACAAAATGACTTTCCCGACAATATCAAAATCCCGACAAGTTAGCCCGCATTATTTAGAGTTAGTGTTAATTCCGGTCAATTTTTGTCGGGATTTGGTTTGTCGGTAGAGAAAATGATGGAGATCCGTGTAAATCATCTTTTGCTTTTGTTGATTCAAGATGATTTCGACTGAGTACTGGGATTTGTTTTGGTCCGGTTTATCCCGATCAGAAATGTCGGAGAGTGATTTTCAAGCAAAGACCCCATATGTATTTATTCATTGTGCGTGTATTTTGTGTGTAGGTTAAAGAAAATATCCATTTTGAACAACTTTAATTTCAAATAATTTTATTTTAAAAAAATTCCGCATCATGTAAAGTTCAGTAAGTCTAATAAATTTGTAAAAATCTTATTGATACTATTGTTAAAAGTTAAATTCAATTGATTTATCTGTTTCTAAACTGGTTAAAAAGTTCATATTTATCTACATGTTTTAATACCATCTTACAAGTTCTGATTTTTGCACATTGCATTTATAAACCCTCTGTAAATAATTGAAATCAAGATTGATATCATCTTAATACAGGATACACCCTTCCACGCTTCACCTGACCTCGTTTGATATCTATAGTACCCTCTCTAAACGCTAATGCATCAAAATTCAAGCAAGGAATAAGATTCAAAGGCAATAACGATGTAATATTAAAATTTGCATCATTCTCAGTAATTCCAGCAGATTTACTAGAAGATATAATATTTTTTGGAGTTAAAGCTTCGAAACTTTTAGTGACTGCTTTGGCACTTGATAAGGTTCTCCTGCCTGGTGGGGTGAACAATTCATTAGATGACATTAAGTCTTGATTCGAATCAGGCTCGTCATTAGAAACGTCGTTCGTATCCAATGGTTTGCTAATAGATGTAACAGCTCTTTTTCCAAGTGAATTAGAGCGTTTAGATGTAACGTGACGCATGCCCGGGATGGATACGTTTTTGCATTTACCCCATTCCTCGGGATTAAATACTTCATCAAAATTCACAATTGACATCGGACAGTTGTCAAATAATCTACGGAGTTCCGTTGTAGTTGAATGTCTCTTTTCAGATGGAGGTAGAATCAATGGGAGTAGAGATCTATTCCTTTTTTTTTGAGAAGTGTTTGTTTTTGCGCGAGAATATGGTGATGTATCTTTATCAATTCCTTTGCCATCAATCTCTTTTCGATCTTTTTTTACGTTATGATTATATCCATTTAAGCATTTATTAGCAGTTCTTTGGTAAAAATCGGTTTTTTGCTTCTTGATAGAATCATCGTCATTATTAGAATTAATATCGTAAAGATGTTTTCCGTTGATTTTAGATGACATGCTTGTAGCAACAGTCTCTTCTATTGTTGGTTGCTCAACGAAAGATGTTTCGATACTCCCATTTCCTTTAATTATGTGGGTAGCCGACATTGTATCTACCCTGTTAATAGATTTCTTAAATATCAACGATGGTTTGTTTCGAAGTGCATTTTGACAATCTATGCAACGCCATTTTTCACCGATTTTGAACTGACTTATTTGGGGATCATGGCATTTTTGGTGATAGCCTTCATTGCACGCGACACAAACACAGATAAAGTTACAAATTAATTCTGGTCCACCACAAACACGACATGCAACTAAATGGTTCACGAGCTTCCGTCGTTTTTTCTTGACATTTTCTGATGTGTTTTCATCCGTACTAGGGGATAATTCTTGTATCAAAATAGGCCAATCTTCAAATACCCCGCATTCGTCTTGACTCGTGTCTCCAGTTATTGTACACGAATCGTCCGTAATGGTACTTGATCCACATGATGAATCCGAGTCGTTCCCCGAGGTTGTTTCTAAAATAAACCTTCGAATCTTGTATTTTGATGTTTTTTTATTTGGAGTAGCATATTTTATTACTTCGGTTTCAGAATCTGACCAAACCCTGTTATTAGAATTTGATTCGGAAACATTGCATTCGCTGTCGTCAGAAGACGTTAACAAAAAATCTCTGCAATGGGAGTTCTATTAATTTTAAAAGAATTTACATGCAAAAAAAAACGGTAGGTAAATATAAAGTTTGAAAGGTCAATTATACTAAACAACGAAAAAGCTAACCGGGTGGTTAACGCCGTTCGAAGTATTTTTTTCCATTCTAGTGGTTTGTAGTTCTTTTGTGTATTCTTCCTAATCTTCTTGTTTTGCTTCTTCATATAGGTACATTGTTCTTGTTTGGTCTTTTCATCTAATGTTTGCACTACTGCTATTTGCAATTATATGTTTGACCCATATTTCTGTCATTATTATCTTGTGATCACTATCAGTTAGTCCTTTTGCTTCTTCTATGTCTGCCTTTTGTAAACCTGATGCAAGTGTTTCTGATAGCCATATATAATCAATTCGTGTTGCTGCATCACAGCTTGACTATGTATATGCCTTTTCTGTTAGGTGAAGGCTTCTGTATGAGTCTATAAACTCTTGTCTCTTGAGCCAATTGAATAGTGGTAATCTCTTATAGTTTGTTGTTTGTGAATATTGTCTATCTATTATATTGTCTACTGTATGATTAAAGTCTCCTAATATAATCACTTCTGTGTGTCTCTTTCTGTTTGTTATTACTTTTACCACTTTTTGTTAAATGTTTTTGCTAATTGTCTTGTCATTCGGTAGGATATATATTCCTATCACTATTACTTCTAATTGTTTAAAGTATAGTCGCACTTCTATCATATATTCGCTAATCCTTTTGACAGCTCCTACATGTTTTTTCTACTTTTCTTCTATCAGTATGCCAACCCCTGAACCTTTTTTCTTATCTGGTACTGCACTAGTTCAGTAACTCTTATAATGCATATTAAGGTCATGTACTAAAAACTTCTCTTCTTTTTCTGTAATGTTTGTTTCTGTTATTCCTAATATTAATATCTCTTCTTTCTCTGCCCAAACTAAAAGATTTTCCAATTTCCATCCTCTAGTTTTAAGCCCATTAACATGACATGCTATTCTGAATTCTTTTCTATTTGTTTGTTTCTATTCTTCTTTAAGTTCATTAATTTCCTCTGCTCTGTTTGTTTCTTTCTCTTTACTCTTGTTCTTCCTGCTGTGGTTTTTAAGAAGATAAGGAGTTTTTTCTTTTTGTGTTCTTTCATATATTTCCTTTTCATTTTGCAGAAAGTCTGTAATCTCCTTATCTATATTCGTGTTTTCAACCAAGGCGGTTTTCAGAAGTGTTGTGCAGGATTCTCCTGCTCCTCACTTATCTTTTCTAATTTTTCTAGTATTTTTTGTAACGTAGTTTGATGTTGATCTATTCTTTTCCAGATGGTTAGTATGTCTTCTTTGCTGTTTTTACTATTCTTGTTTTTTTCTGTATTTGTTATTTCAGCCTTGTAGTTAAGCTCTCTGTTGGCTTCTTGATGCTTCTTTTTTGTGTTGTTTTCTTTCCTTATTTTTGTTTTATAGGTTAGTGTGTTCTTACTTTCTGGTCTTCTTTCTTCAGTTGATTTTCAGTATAGTGTATAATTGTAGTATCTTACTGGTTTACTACTTGCTCTCTTGAGGTTTTCATTATTTTCAAAGGTTATTACTGCAATGCTTCTTGGGTTTTCATTTCTGTTAGAAGGAATGTAGACTGCCTTTGCTTCTTTGTTTCTAAGACTTCTTAGTAATAATACTTCTGAGACTCCTCTTGCTAATCCCATTAGTTTAACTGTGTGTCTTCCTTGTTTTTCTTTTTGCTCATAGTCTTCGTAGCTCCATATAACATGTGCTAGATTATTGCTGCCAATTGGAAGAGACCATAGAGCTCTTTCTTTTTCTAATAGCTGGACTTGATTATTGCTAAAGCTTTAAATCTTGTTCTTTTAATCTTGACCACTTGTGTGCTTCTTATGTTTCTACACATATATTTGACTTCTTCTTCTTTTATATCTGCTGGTAGGTCCCAAATCATTAGAAATTTGTTTGTCTCTTTCATTTCTGCTACTTTCCCTTTCTCTTTATCTTTGTATGTTTTGTAAGGTTCTTCAGCTTTTTGGTTCTCTTTTAGTACAATAACTCTTGCTTGATGTTTGACTTTCTTTTCTTCTCTTTCTCTTATAATTTGCACTTCTTTGATATTTTGCTTTTGTAATTCTTTTGTTGCTTTTTCTCTGCTGTAGTTGCAGTCAAAATCTATTTCTATCTATTTGCTATTTTCTTTTGTTGTTTCTTCAACTGACTTTATGTGCTTGTTTTCTCCTAACATTGCTTTTATATGTTGCAACTTTTCTTAAATTGTGTTACCTTTCAGGTTGTATGCTGGTATTCTTGTACAGTGTAAGCTGTTTATGTTACATGGTCTATTTGCTGATGCCCAGGTGCTTTGTCCTAGTGTCATATATGTTTTTTCTGTTTGTTGAATTTGCATTTGCAATTTATCCTTTTGTGTTGCTTCTGTTTTTTGTTTACCAGTACCATTATTAAATTTTTTGTTTACTTTTTGCTCTTTCTCTAGTTCTTCTGTTTCTATTTGCTGTCTTTTTTTACTATATTCTGCTTGCATGTCTTCATTTTTCATAATAATTTCAACACCTTGCATCTTGTCTTCTTCTCTAATTACTTCTTCTGATATTATATTTAAAAGATAATCTACTGATTTTGGATTTAGGTCATAATTCTAATTCTTCTGGCACAGTCTTCAATGATTTCACTTTGTAGCCATGTGCTTTCTGCCTTTCTTAATGCTGCTATTATCTGATCATAAAGAAGCAAGTCATATACTGTAATTTTGCTTACATCTTTAACTACTAGACTCTTTGCTATTAGCTCTATGTCATCTGGGCTCGATGGTTTTGTCTTCTCTAAAACTTTAACTAGCTCTTTGTTGTTTACATATTCGACTACTCGTGCTCCATAATTGCTAACATACTTAAGCAGACTTTGTATTTGAGTACCTTCTACTTGAACCAGATCTTCTTCTAGATTTTTCTGCATATGTTGTATTTGTTTGTTTACCTTTGTTTGTTTGTTGTATATTCTATCTATTACTAAATTTGTATGCATTCTTGTTTGTTTACTTCTGCTTTTAGTCACATGTTTCTATTTGTTGTTTTCAGGGTCGATGACAATTCCCAAAAAATTTTTCCAAAAAAATTTTCAAGAAATTTTGTTTTTGCAAAGTTCCTGTTCTAGTGCCTTTCAAGTTCTTTTTAACTGCTATGTCTTTATACAATTTCTATGTATTTTATCTTTCTGCTTCTTTTTTCTTATGACTCTTTAGTGGATTTTCTATGTTGTTTTTGTGTTATTGTCGATTGTGTATTTTTTCAAATTTGTACAAATGAATCAGCAGAAAGAGTTTGCTAACTTTGATTATTTTTTTTAATATTAAGATAAGTACTTATAATTTAGAATTTATTAATAATATGTTTTAGCTTTGTGATTATATTACAATAGTTACAAAAGTTAACTATAAAAAAAATATACAACTAGTTACTTATACAACTTTAATTTTATCTAATTTAAATAGTTTATCTAAAGGTTTTATTTTAGCTATTATATTTAGAATTTGTCTATAAATCTTTTATTTAAATACTTTAATTTTTTTTTTGATATTAAGATGATTTTTTTGGTTTTTTGATTTTTTATTAATGACTTTTTAAGTAATATAATTCAATGAACTATTACAAAAAAGTGTACAATCAGTTACATATGTAATTTTTCTATATTATCTATTTAAGAAGTCTGCTCAAAAGTTTTCTACCAATTGCTATATCTTTGCTTGAATGTTTTACTTTAAATCCTTTGAATCTGTAATCTGTATTAACATCACTAGATTATCTTAGATGCTCAAAGCATTGTCTCAACCTTAAAACTATTTTATCTTTAAAGTAAATCTTTTGAAGCATTTTGTATTTAATTTTAATATTATTATAACAGACTAACACTTATGATCAGAGTTATATTATTTAACTATTATATTCTTGTAGAGTTCACACAGATTTTAGCATCTACTTTATAGCATAACCTTAATACTTTAATATATTTCTGTCTTTTTACTAGACTTTCAATTCAGATAGTTCATATAAAATTATAACTAGTCTATTAATATATTAAATCAACCAATATTTTTTTTCTCTAATTCATTTTAGTAGCCTAATTAGTAATATCTTTAAGACTTCTAATCCAAAAGTTCTTATCCATTCAGGTATTATAATTTTGATATCTGTTTTCTTGAACTAGCTTTTATAATAAGATTATCAAAGATTCAGTTACCTTTCTATTTAGGTTTTTCTAAATAGATTTCTTGTTACCTAATTTTAATGAATTTATATAATTATAAGGACTTATCTAGTTTTTGTATTATCTAATTGTTAGTTTGCATTTTTCTGTGTAATGCTATATTTAAACAGATGTCTTATGATCTGCTAGTTATACTAATATAACTAACATTACAAATATTCTAATCTAATCATTAGTAACAGTTGTCATAATATAAATATTATATAGGTGATTATTCAAATTTTCATTATTAATAGAATTTGAACATCCAATTTATTACTTGAAAAGTTAACAACTTGACTACTTCACTAGGTCATCATACTCTTATTTTAATTCTTATATCTACTTACTTACTTATTTTTTTAACAGTTTTAGTTTGTATTAATATAAATATATTATAATTATTGTCTTTAAAGTAGTTTACTTATATAAAAAATCTTTGACTTTGTACTATACTTACTAGAATCTTCTGTTATCTTAATTTCTAGCTAACTTAACATTGTACTATAGTTAAGACTAACACTTATAGTTAGATCTAATTATTAAATTGTTATACTTTTATAGAGTTCATACAATCCCAATGTTTTTTTTTTTTTAATATTAAGGTAAGTACTTGTGATCCAGGATTTTATTAGTAGTATATTTGGCTAATAGATGCTTTACAACCACAAAAGGCAACCATGAGAAGAGTGTACAACTAGCCACTCATACA